GTTAACGAGTAATTTACAAAAAACTGTTTTATCGTTTTTCGTCCATAACTCTTTAAATATTAATGCTAGCGAAAAACTTTTACACAGAAATTGTAGATCTCGTCGTCCTCTACAAAAAAGGTCGTATACAATTTTTCCGTATGTCCAGTGGTTTGGGAGTTATTGGCCAAAAACGAAAATTTGGAAGAAATTGAAGGGGTACCCCTTGGAAAAATCTCGGAAAAATCGAAAATTTTTTTTTTGTTGTTTATTATTAGCAATGTTCTTCCGACGTCTGATTTCTTTTTAAGAAATGCGTTTCTAAAGTGCATAAACTTTTGGGATTGACTGTATAGCCAATACATCCTTAAAACAAAATATGATAATCAGACAATTTTGCGACTTCCGTTAATTGACTCATTTACTTCATCACTTTCAGTGAAGATTCATAGTTTCGATAAGATAGTAAAAAATGACGAAAAGTGTTTTTGAGCAGATTCACAAAAACAATTTTTCGATCTTCCGCGTGTGATTAATTATTTTAGTGATGGAATAAAGCTGTATAAAAAAAGTCGGAATAAAATGGCCAAGATTGACGAAAGCCGTTAAACTTTATCTTATCAATATAATGTAATAAACGTTTACTACTTAATAAAAGTGGTCTACGATTTTTTTATCGATATTTTATGTCAATATCCACAGCGAACGAAATCTTAGGACCGTGATTGTATAGAAAATATTTCTCCCTACAGCTGGTTCGAATCTCATAGAATTTGGGCGACAGCTTTGGTGGTCGGTGAAATGTGCGAAACTTCGAGCCACTGGCGGCAAACCAGAACTTTATCTGAATGGATGAGGGAACAAAACGTCCCCGGCATATACGAGATCGATACGAGAGCCTTAACAAAAATTATACGTGAGAAGGGTACTATATTAGGTAGAATTGTGTACGAACCACCGGCCCAGAATCCCCTTCCTTCTTTACTCCCTCCGATAGCGGATCCGAACAAAAGGAACCTCGTTGCGGAAGTTGTTCAGGTATACGATTTAAATTTAACACAACACCGTTACATTTCTAAACATGAATAGTACTATACAGGCTCAGTTCTTTACCCTCTGAAAAACTCTAAAACCGTTATTTAAAAAAAAAATGAATTAATATCTAAAAGTTTGCTTTCGAGAGTCTGTTAATAGATCCCGCGATTTTTGAACAGAATTGTATTTGTATAGAATTGCCATGCTTGCAATGTACCGTCAGAGACGTTTAGTACTTTAATATACGTAGAATATTAATAATCGAATATTAAATTTCAGCCCGTAAAGAAATGTTACAATCCCGACGGTAGTCCGCGTATATGTGTAGTAGACTGTGGTCTCAAGTACAATCAATTGAGGTGTTTGATTAATCGGCATGCGCGCGTGGACGTAGTACCATGGAATCACAATTTAAACGAAGTCAAGTACGACGGATTATTTCTCAGCAATGGACCAGGCGATCCGAGCAAATGCGAAATCACTACAAATAATCTTCGCTCGATTCTCGAGTCCCGATCGCACAAACCGATTTTTGGTATTTGCTTGGGTCATCAGTTGCTTTGTACTGCTGCCGGCTGCGTTACTTATAAAATGAGGTATTACACATGTATATGTGTACAGTTAATAGCTTTTAAAATTCAATTGAGTGTGTTACAATGAACGACATTGTACAACCGATTAAATTTATTATAGCGTGTCTCTTTCACTACGTGTATGAGTCTAATATATATGTACGAAGTTCTTGAAGTGAAATGTTTTATTTGTGTGCAGCTACGGGAATCGTGGTCATAATCAGCCGGTCACGCATCACGGAACCGGTCGTTGCTATATGACCTCGCAAAATCACGGGTACGCTGTTGACGCTAGCCAATTACCAGCGGATTGGGAGCCGCTCTTTACCAATACAAATGACAATAGTAACGAGGGTGTTGTGCACTCGACTCTCCCGTATTTCTCGGTTCAATTTCATCCCGAGCATACCGCCGGTCCTCAGGACCTGGAATGTTTGTTTGACGTATTTCTCGATGCGGTAATCGATGCGGCTAATGGCTCGCAGCAAATATCCATTAAAGAGAGATTAAATAACAAATTAAGATTTAATATAGACAACGATAAATTGCTCGCACGGCCGAAGAAGGTGCTAATTTTGGGATCGGGAGGTCTCAGTATCGGCCAGGCTGGCGAATTTGATTATTCCGGATCGCAAGCGATGAAAGCATTGCGAGAGGAATGCATACAAACGCTTTTAATTAATCCCAACATCGCGACTGTACAAACATCGAAGGGAATGGCTGACAAAGTTTATTTTCTACCGATTATACCGGAATACGTCGAACAAGTACGTAACGATTATCAAAAGAAAATAATTTCTATTTCTTAGTTAATTTTGGTTTCAGGTAATACAATCGGAGCGACCCGATGGTGTACTCTTAACGTTTGGGGGACAGACGGCTCTCAATTGTGGCGTTGAGCTCGAGAAGAATGGAATATTCAAAAAGTATAACATTGATATATTAGGAACGCCTATACAGTCAATTATAGAAACAGAGGATAGGAAGATCTTCGCTGAGCGCATCGCAGAAATTGGTGAAAAAGTAGCTCCGAGTGCCGCCGCCTATTCTATCCAAGAAGTAAAAAATACATGTTATACTATAGAAAGAAATATAATATTTGATACAATTACATGAATATGTTTCTATGTCCGAATTAAATGAGAGACGATAATTTTTAAATAAAAATTTTAATTAAAACAAAAATTTATAAACAATTTCTATGATTATTTTCAGGCATTAGATGCAGCCGAAAAATTGGGCTACCCTGTAATGGCCAGAGCCGCGTTCTCGCTCGGAGGCTTGGGATCCGGTTTTGCGAATTCCAAAGAAGAATTGAGACGGCTTGGACAGCAAGCGTTTGCTCACTCGAATCAATTAATCATCGACAAATCATTGAAAGGTTGGAAGGAAGTGGAATACGAAGTCGTTCGAGACATGTACGACAATTGCATCACTGTTTGCAACATGGAGAACGTTGATCCTCTCGGTATTCACACCGGAGAATCAATTGTTGTCGCTCCTAGTCAAACACTGTCGAACAAGGAATACAATATGCTTCGAACAACGGCTTTAAAAGTAATTAGACACTTCGGGATAGTCGGCGAATGCAACATCCAGTATGCATTAAATCCAAACACCGAGGAATATTACATAATCGAAGTGAACGCAAGATTGTCGCGCAGCTCGGCGCTAGCGAGCAAAGCTACCGGTTACCCGTTAGCTTACGTAGCCGCGAAATTAGCGCTTGGTATTAGTTTACCGGATATCCACAATTCCGTAACCGGGAAAACGACAGCATGCTTCGAGCCCAGTCTTGATTATTGCGTAGTTAAAATACCGAGGTGGGATTTAAGCAAATTTCATCGAGTTAGCACAAAGGTACAACTTTATAATTAAAATAGAAAAACGAAGGGGAAAAGAAAAGAAGCACTATTTTAAACGTACTAGGAAATTGATGACACCGAATTTTAACTTGCCTTTTAGATCGGCAGCTCTATGAAAAGCGTAGGGGAAGTGATGGCGATTGGGCGCAAATTCGAGGAAGCTTTTCAGAAAGCTTTGAGAATGGTCGACGAGAATACAAATGGCTTTGACCCGTACGTGAAGGTTCCAAACGACGAGGAATTGGAAAAGCCAACGGATAAAAGAATGTTCGTTCTTGCCGCTTCTATAAAAGCAGGGTACACGATAGATAGATTGTACGAACTTACGAAAATAGATAAGTGGTTCTTACACAAAATGAAGAATATCATCGATTACTATTTGGTCTTGGAGAATACGAAATTGTCGCACGATGTTCTGCTACGGGCTAAACAAATTGGATTTTCCGACAAACAAATCGCAGCTGTGGTTAAAAGTTCGGAATTGGCAGTCAGAATACAAAGGCACGAGAGCAATATACGACCAATGGTGAAGCAAATTGACACTGTGGCTGCCGAATGGCCAGCTACAACGAATTATCTATATTTAACGTATAATGGAACGACGCACGACGTGGAATTTCCCAGTGGATATATGATGGTGATAGGTAGACACCAAAAATAAAACTCAAACGTTATACGAATTTAATTTTACACACATAGACAAATTAATTGTATTTTTTATATCTTCAATAGGATCTGGAGTATATCGAATCGGCAGTTCGGTAGAATTTGATTGGTGTGCTGTCAGCTGTCTGCGCGAATTACGAAACTTGGGAAGGAAAACGATCATGATTAATTACAATCCGGAAACAGTAAGCACCGATTATGATATGAGTGATCGATTATACTTCGAAGAGATATCGTTCGAAGTTGTGATGGATATCTACGATCACGAATGCCCTGAGGGAATAATTTTATCCATGGGCGGTCAATTACCGAACAATATTGCTATGGATCTTCATAGGCAACAGGCCAGAATTCTTGGAACTTCGCCGGAGTCTGTAGACGGAGCCGAGAATCGGTTCAAATTTTCTCGCATGCTGGATGGCATTGGAATTTCACAACCAAGGTAACAAACAATTCATCGAAAGAATAAAGACACAGCTAATCCTGTTCCTTATTAGGATATTATAAGTAACGTAATCATTATACAAATCCATACTGAGCCGAAAATTATGTAGGTGGAAAGAACTGACCAATTTGAAGTCTGCGATCGAGTTTTGCGAAGAAGTCGGCTATCCGTGTTTAGTGCGGCCTTCTTACGTGTTGAGCGGCGCCTCGATGAACGTGGCGCATTCGAATCAGGACCTCGAATCGTATCTGAAGAGCGCTAGCGAAGTGAATAAGGAGCATCCAGTGGTCATATCAAAATTCATTCTCGAAGCGAAGGAGATTGATGTGGATGCTGTTGCCTATGAAGGAATTATTCTTTGCATGGCAGTATCGGAGCACGTAGAGAATGCTGGAGTCCACTCAGGAGATGCCACTCTTGTCACACCGCCGCAAGATATCAACCCTGAGACTTTGATAAAAATAAAAGTGATGTCCAAGGCTATTGCTGCATCTTTAGGTGTAACCGGTCCCTTCAACATGCAATTGATTGCGAAGGTAATTATCTTATAATCCATTCACTCTTATCGCAGCGGTCGTAATATCGAAAAAATTTTACCACGCGACCAAATTCTAACGTCGAGAGCCGTCTCCGACGGAAAATACAATGCCGTAGTGGGAATTGCAAGATACAGAGATAAGTATTTAAAAGTAGAGGGCCTCAGAACGACCCGCTGACTATCTCGTGTTCACTTTTCATTCCTTGTACGGTACGGTTTCCTGACCGAAAAAGCGAGTCATCGTGGGTCAGGAGATGGAATATGATTCGGTATAACCATTTACGCCATAAACGTCTGATGATTCGACATAGTCTGGATTCGCGCGAAGAAAAACCCTTTCTTTTTTACGTGCGCAATAAAACTGTACCCGATACCTTAGGAAGTCGTTAATATCGAGTCTTCCCCTGTTGACTAAATGATATTTCCATTCTTTGAAAACTTTCCTTAATCGCTTTGTACTAATTTCTACTTACGCTTTGTTTGTAATTGATGATAATCTTTAACAGCTGAAAATACTATATCTCGATACGAATTATAAAATGCGTATCGTTTATATCAGTTTAATGTAAAAATATTAAATGGTATAAAGTAGTAGCTCTAGCAATTGCTTATCAATAAAATTGTTAATCCCCACTAAATATGTCTGTGTTCTTATATCTGATATTCTACGGTTAAAAAAATCATAGCTCGCGATGTTTCTGATCCATGCTTCTCGTCTACGCTCTCGCCTGGGAATGATATCATCGGGATCCTCGAAGACCTGCTTTTACATATTTTTACGTACTGTAATAATACCTTAAATTTTCTACTATGGCATTGTATCTTACGTCTCTTAATCGTAGAATTGCGCCGCTTAGTATGCACAATTTTTCCGTCTTTACAATCAATGAGATGAACCCTAAAAGGACAAGAAAAAGAGGTAAATTATGATTACTTTTTGTTGATAGGACAATGAGTTGAAGGTCATAGAGTGCAACGTTAGGGTGTCTAGATCTTTCCCCTTCGTGTCAAAGACACTGGATCACGATTTCGTAGCTATGGCCACGCGGTTAATTGTTGGAGAGCCTGTGGATCCGGTAGACGTTCTCGCAGGGTGCGGTAAAGTTGGCGTCAAAGTACCCCAGTTCTCGTTTTCGCGTTTGGCCGGTGAGCATACGTTTATTCTATCATTAGAACGTTTCGAATATACATATTTATATTATTTTTATATTTGCCTCATATTATGTGCACTTATCTTGTTTGTTTTTCGTCATTAAGTGCACAGCATATTTTCTACTGTAAAAAATATTAACTCATAAACTGCTTCTTAACAAATGATTGTGTGCAATTAAATAGGTGCCGATGTGATGTTGGGCGTTGAGATGGTGTCCACGGGTGAAGTTGCTTGCTTCGGAGATAATCGGTACGAGGCTTACCTGAAAGGAATGATGAGCACCGGTTTTCATATACCAGAAAAGGGCATTTTACTCTCAGTGGGAAGTTTCAAGGTACATAGTTATAAAAATGTCATTTGATTTATTACTAGATCATATACTTTACAATACATATATTTTTATTACAGCATAAAATGGAGTTATTACCGTCCATTCGAAGTCTTCATAATATGGGCTATAAATTGTATGCTAGCATGGGAACCGCAGATTTCTATACGGAACATGGAGTGGAGGTAAGTGAGAGCATAATACGAGTTAATATTTTTTTTGTAAAAAGAAACGTTTCTCTTAAAAAATATTTGTGTATTTAATGTCTATTTTCAAATTACTTCTTAATTTTTAAGTCTTCTTACGTGAATTAATATTAATTATTTAAAAATAGCCTACGTTCCATGTTGTTCGACTGCTATGTAGTCTTCATTCTAGTCATTAGAAACGCGTCCAAAATTTGTTGAATATAAATAACGTTAAATAATAGTAAGTTATGAGTCACTTCATGAAGTATGAGCAATTTATTATATGCAAAATGTGTAAAACGATTTAACGAAATTTATTAATGAATTGTCAAGTTCTAAATGTACGTGGATTCATTGCTCATAGATTCAGCATCGGCAAGTTTTAAGACAGGTTGACCCACGTCATTGGTAAATTCCGGAATCGGTCTTGCGGCATTCAAGTTTATTACCGGCCTCGCCTTACTATCCGTAACTCTTGCGACATCCGAGTTTATTACCGGCCTCGCTTTATTATCCGTGAATTTCAGAATTTCTTTGTCCGGATCTTCGTACGGAGTCTCGTGAACTATCACTTTCGTGAAAAATGAAGCTTTGTCTTTAGAGTCGGACTCTTTTAGCGGCTGTTTGGTGCCCGCGCCTGTTTCTGCATAGGAATCATCTTTGGTTGATGAATCATGCGCGAAACGCCCTTTCAAGGGGGCAACGAAAATAGCCGATTCCACATTCCTCTTAGGAGTTTCCGGTGCCTCGTCGAAAGATTTCATACTGGTCGTCCGCCTTCTAAGGACTCTAATCTTGTCACGAAAGGCGTGCACGTCATCCTTGTAGCTCGGATATTCGTACAGTAGAAGAGCTAATCTCTCAGCATGATTGAGATAATTCGTTTTCTGGCGATCCGCGCGATATTTACAACAGCGGTCGGCTATTTTGATAAAGTGTTGTATAAAGAAATCTAGGAGCGTGCACAACCTTGTACCCTCCAACTCGGCGCACCGTACCTGAAAATACGGAGGCAAATAAGATCTTTCTAATCCCCGGTATCCGTGAGTATTATATGTAGATCATAGATAACACATATACACGATAGATAAGATTAGAGTTAGCTGAAGGTGTATCAACTAAATTATTATTTCACCACTTCTTATCGAACACGAGACAACAGATATCGTCACATTTTTATTTGAGCAATAAAATTTTTGGTACCATCTCATTACTGTATAAAATTAGAAGTCAGCAGAAGATAAATAAACAATTAATGAAAGAAATCATTTTGCGATAATGCAACCGTTGAATGAATTATGGCTAAAAGAATGCGTGTTCTCAGCACTTAATATATCGTATAATGACGAAAGCTTGAAATGATAGTAATCTTATCGCTTACCGAGATTTCCATGATGGAGTCTGTAGCCTTACGAGGATTAATTAATGTCTTATTGGTAACGAACTGGCCGAAATGTATGGTTTTCTGATTCCTGGCTCTATCCCATAGTCCTGCTGAGCCATACTTGCTCTCGTAGTCTTCCTGTTGGTCTTTCATTAACGCTCTCGAAACGTTCGGATTCACTAACGTCAATAAGTCCGCAGTCAATATATTAAGTAACCGCGCATAGTTTAATCTCGGGAAAAAATCGTCGTTGTAGCGAATGTTTTCCATCGCGTGGAAAACGTACATCACTGGGTTCTCGATGATGCGCTTCAATTGTTTCTGGGTGTACAGGAGATGTTCGCACGGTATCCTCTGGAAGAGATTCCTGTTCCTGATGAAATAATCTCTGAGTACAGGCTCGTTTTGGCTGATACTGAAGTACAACGAGTTTAGTAGCTTCATTAGGCTTTCTCCCATCGCGCTATCAGTCCATTTCGACAACTTGTTGTCCTCTTCGATCATCCAAAATAACGTGTGCCTAATATGAGAAGGTGTTATACTGAACATCATGTCGAAAATGGGTCTCATATAAGTTTTGTGGAGCATCTGAGCAATCAGATAGACCTGTACTTGGGCCTGTGTCATGCAGGTTTCGAGGTACCTCTCGGCAGCTGGGAAAGTAAGCTGCCATTCGAGATCTTCCTGGAGATTACTGTTTCCTTTCCGCGGTACGTAACCTTCCGGTACGACGTAGCAGCCAAAGTCTCTGATCTTTTCGACATCGATGCTGTCAGGCCAGTTGCTTCGCGGCCTGTCTAACCATTCCTGCGCGCACATGGGCCATTGCAGCCAAATTGCGGGGATTATTTCGTACTGGTCGAGTCTGCTGTGCTTGCTCGAGTCGAGGAGTATAATATTGTCGCTGTACAGTACGCATCCTTCTCTTCTGGTTTCTTTCACGGTTTCTTCATCGAACCGCAGGCAGTTCCCCAACTTATGTTTAAACAAAATCGTAAAATGTTTCATGAACTCCGTGCTGCTCACGAAAGATATATTGTAATTCTGTCGCTTTAAAGCCTTGTGAAGTCTTCGTTGCTTGTTATTCAACGACTGCGCCTTCTTGTCTTCTTCAGGATTGTAGATCCTACCGTCAGCCGTGTATGTCACTGTTTTAAAACAACGTTCCGGAAATTCCCCTTTGCTTATCCAATTCTCGTTTATCTCGATGTAGCTAGAACTCCGAGAGAATTTCGACGAGCTTTGAGGTCGAACGAAATTATTGTCACTGTCGCTGTCCATCGCGTAATCGCCAGACAAATATCCAGAACTGTTGCTGCTTGTTTGATCTTGATTGATCCCATGAGTCTTCGATTGCGTTACTAATTTCTGCTGTCTAAGCAATTCTTCTTTCGATTTAGATCTTTTGTTCAGGCGTTTTGGTTCCTCGGAGGAGGAACCGTTCTCGCAATCGGTCTCTGCTTTACGATTAGAACTGGAGAGAGAATGATTAATGGACGGAGCTCCGTTTTCGCGCAAATTAGGCACGGATTTTGCGTGCTTCAACTGTTCGGATAAAATCGGTCGAGGTTTCGGACCGTAAACGCTATCACTGTCACTGTACTGTTCGTCATTTTCCGCTATAGATGACAATTCGCTCGTCGGTTTTTTCGACTTCGCGACCTCTTCAGTTTGAAGCTGCACATACCCTGTAACAATATAAACATAAAAAATTACTTTCGTTGGACGTTATTACTACACTGCAGAGGTTTATCTATTACGTGAGACTTGAATATATTCCTTCGCAAATTATGTATAATTGGCGAACAAAAGAAGATTCGAAAGGAGCTAACAAGTTTTCCTTTAAATTACGTTTTTTAAAGAAATATGATTATCCATAAATAATTTGATCATAAAACTCCGCCTTTTTGGTAGCTCACCTTGATGCTTCGTAGGTATCAATAATATTTTGTACATGGTCGAATTGTTGACGGTGCTGTAATGCGAATAAGTTTGTTCAATAATGTCGATATTATCGTGAACCACATAAATCCGAATCGGTTGCAAGGGTTCGATGGTCGGTCGAAATGTTTGCCGCGACGAGGTGAAGCCGACATGACGGCCGATCTGTTCTTGAAGAACATCCGGAATCAACACGTGTTTCTGTGGCGGTAAATTTTTGTTAAAATCCGCTTCGCTCGATGAAACCATCGACTCCTTCACTCGTTTAATCTCTCTGAAACACAATCACAGTAAAATATGGTTGTCTGATAATAAAATCATTTTATCACTCATGCGAGTTATCAAACCCATCGTACCGTATCATTGATCAAAGTCTAAAATAAGTTGTCAGTTTTATTAATAAAGCATCGAAAATACGCGCATCGGTAGAATTTTTCAAATCACACACTACCACGATACAAACTTAAAGAAAAAAGAAAGTGGTATCTTACTCTTCGTAATTTCCGAAAAACTGAACGCTCATCAGAAGATTATTCAGTATGAACATTTCAGGATTTTTCTCAATAGTCCTTTTCATATATAATAATTGCGGATCGTTGTATTGTTCATCATAGCGTGAAATTCCGCTGTCACGAATTCCCTTATCACGATTTTTACCTCGGGAGCCCGATTTGGACTTCGATTTTGAATTCCCCATTTCGCTTTGCGCTCCGCAGGAACTTCTTCCCAAAGTACCGCGCGGAAGCAACAAATACCCTTTTTCCGCCTTTCACTGAACGGCAACGAAATTTGATTCGTTGATTATTACACTTTAACAATGAATCAACGTCCGCGTTCATGAGGCATGTAAACGCGACGCTACACGTATCCACAGACTGTCGGAACAATAATCCAATCGCGGAGTTCCGCACCTGATAAATACCGACCTATCGTTATCAAACTGTATAGGCAGCAGAATGCTTTAATCGGTGCTCGCTATCATCTATCGACAAATACCAGGCGTGAACAATTTTCGTGCGAACATCCCTTCCCCTTCTATCGCACCAAAAATTCTACTGTTTAATCACGGAGTAATATTCAGAAATACGATTGACTCTTGATTGCCGGTATACTGACCGTTGTATATCTTTCTCTGAAGGTTGTTTCTCACTTGATAAGAATGAAATTAGGATAGGAGATAAAAAATAAAACGTTTTACTTAATCTCAATTATATAAATTTTATTTAAAGAATAAAAGAATTGAAATAACATCAGCTAAAAAAATACATTCTTATATGTAACATTTCAGATTTAAGAGATTTTTTATTACGAGGACGATAAGACGTCAAGGTTATTATGAAAGATCTTATACATACATACATATGTAGTATAGTTGATCACTGATCACATGTATTTCGACATATGAGATATTTCTCTTACGAATAGATATCGATCGCTTCAATGCCTCATAGTTTGAATCAGCACTATTGTTAAAAAGAATATTTTGTTGTTACTATCACTAGTAAATTGCAACAATATCACACGTATTGTAATTTTTTCGAGGCCATATCATTAATGAGTACTTGATTGATGATCATAGATACATAAAACAAAAAATTTTATCTAATCTAACAATAACTATAGTGATCCATTTCAGCATTTGCGATAAATCAGCATTTTCACGTTTTAAGCAACAGCCTAACCGAATACAAATTATTGAATTACCGATGTACATAGTGGCTATTTATCTTTATATTATTACGATTTAGTGAGACTTAGATATTAAGAGATCTTTATCGTACTAAAGATTATAAAACAGTTTCAATGTCTACATTTTAAAGATAAATCGAAGAGAATGTGAGACAAAGTATTTGGCACATTACATCACTAATAAAATTAATTATTTATGAAATAAAAAGAAAGTTACACGTAGATATATTATGATCACTTATTTTCTAGCATTTATGACAAAAATGAGTACAGTAAATCAAAATCTTCTGTTATAAATTGTTACACGATTCTCGTTTGTCGAAATTCGCCTAAAAATATTATACTAATGAATTCTTTAATGAAGGTGGAACCGGTACAATGGACATTCGAGAACATCAGCGTAAACGAGGATTCTAGCCCGAGCGAGCTTCGACATCTGGCCGATTTTCTATCAACGAAACAATTCGATCTTGTAATTAATTTGCCAATGAGGAATGGCGGTGCTCGCCGAGTTTCAAATTTCATGACGCATGGCTACCGTACAAGGAGGCTCGCCGTCGATTATTCAGTTCCCCTGATTACAGACGTTAAATGTGCCAAATTATTGGTCAAAGTGAGTAAAATGCGTGGAATTCTTTTGAACCAATTCCGATAATCGATCTGCTGATTAGGAAGTCGTAATGCCGTTTATTTATCGCGTCCTCAGCACGTATAGTCATGATGCTAAAATTAATAATTTGACGTCAATTCCCCGTAATATATAAAAAGATTAACATATGTTTCCGAAAAAAATAAAAAAACGCTTCTTGTTTATACTTCCTTGAAACGAAAAATATTATACGCTGAAATCGATAATTTGCGATAATTAGAAGAAGTCATTAAACGTGGTAGATAACGAAGGACAATTATACAAGTGTATTACGCATAACTTTAAAAAACCAATATTTTACTAATATCTAAGTTTGAATTTCATACTACAAATACGTATGAGATTCTTCGTTATCTAATAACTATCACGTTGCACTACACAGGCTTTGAGAATGCTCGGTGGACGTGCACCACACATGAAGACACATACAGATTGCATGTCATCGCGAACGATGATCAAGCTTCCTGGCTTTATCGACGTCCACGTACACACGCGTGACCCTGGCGCGATTTACAAAGAGGACTTTGCAACTTGCACTGCAGCTGCTCTTGCCGGAGGCATCACGATGATTTTTGCGATGCCCAACACAAATCCTGCTGTCGTTGATCATCAGTCATTCGCCCTGACCAAGGAAGTAAGGAGATGACTTTTTATCAATACATCGTTTAAATCTGAAATAATCTTTCATCGCTTTTTAGCGAGCTCTTCACAACGCGAGGTGTGACTACGCGATTTTCGTCGGAGCTTCCTCGGACAATTATAACATGATTTCGGAATTAGCCCCATTAGCCGCGGGTCTCAAAATGTATCTTAATGAAACGTTTACAACTTTACGATTGGCCGATCTCACAGTGTGGATTAAAGTATGTCAATGGAATAATCAATATACGATAACGCTACGAGAGCTTTTATTTGAACAAATATTGCATCCTTTTCTACATGATTCACCTCGCATTGCTGATGTTGTGATTGTTTTAGCATTTCCAAAGCTGGCCAAAGAAATATCCTATCTGCGTACATGCAGAGGGTGAAACTACTGCCGCGGTTCTTTTGCTAGCTGGTTTACGTAACAGGCCTATTCACGTGTGCCATGTAGCTCGGAAAGAGGAGATTCAAATTATACGCGCTGCTAAGGAGAAAGTACGTGATGATATTTAATATCTATTCAACAGCCGCTGCTAAAATATGATTGTCTCTATTTTATTATCAGGGAATGGCCGTCACCTGTGAAGTATGCCCTCATCACTTGTTCCTCTGTAAGGACGATCTTGATCGCATAGGACACGGACAAGGCCAGGTGAGACCAATGTTAGGAAGCAAAGAAGATCAACAAGCTCTTTGGGAAAATTTAGACGTGATCGATTGCTTCGCGACAGATCATGGTTTGTTACTATTCTATTACGCATACTATTCCTCTTAAACAATCTTTTAAAAACTTTAATTCAACGTTTAAGCACCGCATACCGCGCAAGAGAAATGCAGCGAGAAACCACCGCCGGGATTCCCTGGACTTGAAACGATGCTTCCACTTTTACTGACTGCAGTTCACGAGGGAAAATTAACTATAGAGGTAATTGATATTCCTCTTAAATAATTCACGATAACGAAAGATTTTAATCTTCGAGAGAATTATTTTGTGGTATTTCATTATCGGTTGGTTATCTTTACCTGATTACAATCGAGAAGGGCGAGTAGAAGAATAACGCAAAGAGTTTACTTCTTAGTCTCTTCAAAAAACACGAAAATTTTTATTTGATATCATCACGGTCGAGTAATGTGATACCAGCGACTGCTGGTTGATTTAAATATAGTGTTAATCTTTTTCCTGTATCTTTCCATTATAAGATAACACGCTTATACTCGTATCTACTATGATTAACTTCTGCATTAATTGTGATTAATTTTTTTAGGACATTATAGACAAACTTTATAGAAATCCGAAACGGATTTTTAATATACCGGACCAGCCAAATACTTACATCGAAGTAGATTTAAATGACGAATGGGTAATACCGGACGCGATGCCCTTCTGCAAGTCGAAATGGACCCCGTTCGCTGGAATGAAAGTTCGCGGATCGGTTCACAGGGTAGTTTTAAGGGGAGAAGTCGCTTACGTCGAGGGTCAAATCTTGGTGAATCCCGGCTATGGGCAGGATATCAGAGAGATTCAAGCGAAAACAAAACACCAAACGATGAGTGCCCCAGTCGTTGATGTAGGCAGTCGACCGGGTTCGGCTTTGGACAATCTTCAATCACCGAATTACGAAAAGTATAATAATTTCGTTGATCGAGTAGCGGACATGTCAGAAGAAGAACAGAATGGTACGTCTATTATATGTAATTGTAGCAGTCATCATACTAAGCGATAATGATCTGTTTATTTGCAGAAGCGTACATTCATTTATTGCAAACGGCGTCGCAGAAGTCGAACGTTCATTTCGCATTGGACGTAGATTCCCGCGAGCAATCAAAATTCTTAGCGGTTCAACAACGCACCGTTTCTCCTCTTCCCATCAGCAATGCCACTAGGAATAAGAGTAATAGTAATTCTAATCTTTTATTGACTCCTGTGTCGCAAGTTCCCGCTGTTCACACTAGTCACAATTTAGTGGGTCACAACGTTTTGACAGTTGATATCTTTAATAAGGAATTATTAAAAGATATCTTTAATATTGCGGAAGTCTTTCGCAATACTATTAGAAAAGAACGAGCTTTGGATCATATTTTACGGGTAAAAATATAAATACCTGAATTCTTATTTTTATAATTTATTTATACTTCTTTAATCCTTATTTAGTTCTTTTCAATATTTCTTATACAGGGTAAACTGATGGCATCGATTTTCTACGAGGTCAGTACGAGAACTTCTTGCAGTTTCGCTGCTGCGATGGAAAGACTTGGAGGTCGAGTGATATACATGGATGGTTCCACGTCATCGGTGAAGAAAGGAGAAACCTTGGAAGGTTTGTAAGCTTGTGCGGTTGATGATAAATAATTTATCACTCAAAAAATTAATTTTATTGTTGCAGATTCAGTCACGGTGATGGCTGGCTATGCAGATGTAGTAGTACTTCGCCATCCCGAACCAGGTGCAGTATCGGTGAGTATAACGAAATATGAATTAATTTATCACTGTATCTTATTACTAATAAGTAAAAATTCTTTGCTACTATTAATTTCTTTAAGTGTTCTAATATATACATTATGTATTATATTTATTTTATTATGTGTTATATATTAGACTACATTTAAAGTAATTACATTTATTTCTACGATATTTTTGTATTTAGAGAGCCGCGCAGCACTGTAGAAAACCATTACTGAATGCTGGCGATGGTGTTGGAGAACATCCGACGCAAGCGTTGCTCGACATCTTTACGATAAGAGACGAGATCGGTACAGTGAATGGCTTGACGATCACTATGGTTGGAGACTTGAAGCATGGTAGAACGGTCCATTCTCTCGCAAGGTCAGAATTCGCATATTGATATTGCACATGTGTATAAAACAGTGACAGGCTCACTCATACCATTCTCTGTATGACCCCGACAGATTTAAGAATACAGTAAGATTCAAAAATGAGTAGAAACTATATAAAGCTTAATTCCGAGACAAAATAAAAATGCTTGCAATGTGCATATGATTCTTGATAGATAAATTTCTATTTTCTATCAACTTTCAACCTGTTATTTCGCGACTTTTATAAAATGTGTGCCCCATTTGATGTACAGTCGACTGGTAAATTGCAGTAACACTACACCGTCGACACCTTTCACTTCGTGTTACAGATTACTGACTTTGTACAACGTCGAACTTCGTTACGTGTGTCCTCCGAATCTCAGCATGCCTGACCATGTAATAAAGTACGTATCCGAGCGAGGAATATCGCAGGTGAAGTTCACTACCCTCGAGGACGCTCTTCCTGACACGGACGTTCTCTACATGACGCGTATTCAAAAGGAACGTTTCACGACCCAAGAGGAATATGACAAGGTATATCGTTGATTAATCTCATTGATTTTAAAACAGTCAACAGTTCAACGGTATGCGAGAGATTTGAAACTGATATCGAGATTAACTCGTCACTCATTAAGATAAAAATAAAATAAAACTGCGTAATGAGTCAGAATTGATTCTATTACGCGAGTAGATAACTCCGCGATTTTTCCACAGGTATGTGGTCATTTCGTGATAACGCCGCAGCTGATGTCCCGCGCGAAGCGGAAGATGGTGGTAATGCATCCTTTGCCCCGCGTGTTCGAAATCAGCACGGAATTCGACACAGATCCACGGGCCGCTTATTTCCGACAGGCTGAGAACGGCGTCTATGTCCGAATGGCGCTCTTGGCAATGGTCCTTGGACGCGCGTGACTTGCACAAGGATGAGGGACAAACGTGACTTCTAGGTCAAGATCGTTCCGATTTCGGAGGCCCGAGTCATCACGTGTGAGAAGATAAAACGTTCTCGATCGCAATCCCAATTAGACTGTGATTCATATATACATTGTTTTATAATCCATCGATGGAACAGACAGCATTTTCAAATAAGATCGTAACTAACACTTGGTTCCATAAGAAATTGGAAAATATTATTAACTCAAATTTTCAAACACGCTCTATTTTATATGATTGTATTTGTATAAACTTTTATCCTACCTCAAGACCTTATTGACAGAAACGAAAATTTCCATAAGTCAATCACTTCGTCGCTGCACAAAATTGTTGTAAGAACGTA